CCCCAGCCATTTGCCGGTTTCCATATTACTGTGTAGCGGTCTGGTTTGCTCTTCTGTTTTGGTGTCAGGGTCTGAGGATGCACATACAGCAATATTCATGGCAGCGGTGCTGGGGATACCTGCAGGCTACACAGGGCCCAAACACTGTCAGGTGTGGGAGGGACCCATCCCCTGGAAGTAGGTGTAGGCATACCGGTATCACTAATATACACGTGCATTTAACATCAGTATATGAGTATATGCAAATACGCATAAGGATATACATATATGTGTACATACACACACAGTCATATATACAGTGGCGTTAGATAGAGCTATAGTGATAGAGAAGATAGAATACTATCTAGAGACAGAAATAAGCAACTGCAGCTACACCCAACATGGAGAAATATTGAAAGCAATATTAAGTGAAAAAGACATACTCTAAGAGGAGGCGCAACCATTGAAACCTGCTCCTACAGCTTAACTATGGAATTGCAAGGGATAAAACTCTCAAGGGCAGGGTGGAGGAGGCACCTGCATTAGAGAAGAGGTCAAGACTGGGTAGGGTTTGGGTGTGAGCCTGGATAAGGCACTTAGCCTTTGTATTACTTTTTATCATCTGAAAGATGGAATATTCCACAGAAAGCAAGAAGAACAGTGGCCAATGCAGAACACGCATGCAGCAGGGCACATCCTCTGTTCTATTCAACCCCCCGACCATTCCGGGTTCTGCTCAAAAGCGCACCTGTTTCAATGGGCCAAGGAGGACCGCCATGAGTGGTTCAGGGTGGTGGTGTCCTCCTCCTTTGCAGCACTGGCACCTGACTGGAAAATGCTAAGTAGGAGGCAAGCCCAGCGCCTAACATGAAGGTCTGTAGCCAGTCCTGGGGCTGCTCCCTTCCCTTGAAGCTCAGCTCATCTCTGTGACTGGAGCCCCTTAACCACAGGGGGACTGAGAGACTGACCAACCCTGCACATCGCCAGGATTACGGCACCCCACACGCCTCAGGATTCTGCATCACAGTTACTCCCACCCCCTTACCTGAAAAACCAGGTGTGAGCTCTCTTTAGGCTAACAGAGCCTTCACTAAGTGCACGCGGATGCGATTCCCAGCTTTCTTTCCAGGAGCGGCTGCAGCTCCTCGAGAACCCGTATTTCTCATGCATATAAAAGCAGGCACCTGCTCGTTTATTAATTCCCAGGGTCAGCTTGGCATCCCGCTCACCTGCGTAAGGTCGATCTTCTTAAAGGGCCGCTTCAGAAGCCTTTACAAAGCAGACCCTGCAGTCCCAGGTCCATTGACTTTGGTCCAGATTCCGTCACGCATAAGGCGATCCTATCAGAAGAGCCTGGGGCAGCTGGAATATCCTCAGTCTTTGGGTCTATGCCACCCCTAGAACTTGTGAATGTCCCTCCATGCAGATCCTGGGATGTGTCCACCCTGTCAGTGAGAAGGTGTTCTCAGGTGGGCAGGGAAGCTAGTACACCTGGAGGGCTGGCCCTTTAACTCCCTGCCTACCTGGGAGGGTACCACACCTGCCAAGGCAAAGCTTCCACAGCAGCGGACTCTGAACCTACCTGCAAAGCATTCGCCATCCTCATGGTCTCTGTCTGAGCTGAGCTTGGTTTCTGTGATTTGAGATTTGGGAGGCAGTCTAGTCCAGCGCTTTGCAAACTATGAAGAACCAGAGAACCACTAGAGATCTTGTTGCCATTTGGATTCTGATTCAGAAGGTCTGGGGTGGGAGCTGAGACACGTTTCTAATAAGACCACAGGTGATGCCAAGGCTGCTGGGTCACAAACCTCGCTTGGAGGAACAAAGGTCTAGTGTGCTGATTTAGGGGCACATGTGTCGGGGAGCCATCTGCAGACAGAACCCGACTTTTAACTAAAATAAACTGCTGTGAGATCTTGCACCAGCCCTTTCCCTCTGGAGTTGAGTCTATGACTAACTCCTCACTCCCCTTGAGGGGGTTTGAGTTTGTAAAGCAGTAATTTAAATATTAAACTGGGCGTCAGCTCCACTCTCAGATTTGGTGCAGTTCAATGATTTGCTCTATCCCAGTTAGAGAACCCCCTTTTCACTGGATGGATTGTAATTTTCTCACAATGTGTCAGATCGACCATGGCACTTGTTTAAAAGGGACCCAAACCAGGCACAGTGAATGGGAAATCCTGGGAAGTGCAGTGTGCGTTTTAACAAGCCCTGGGGGGAACCCATGGCCTTTGCCACAGAGAGATAGAGTCAAGCAGAACCACGGAAGAAAAGCAAATATCCAAGAATGAGGAAAGGGCTACATGATAGGATTCAACTGTAATTGAAATGAAAATTGTTTTCATGTGAAGAAAAAAGACTGGTTGTGTAAAACTTGGGAGTGAATCACAGGACTGTATGAACTGCATTGCCAGTCTTATGTTCATCTCAAAAGGAAATAGTGGACTGATATGTGTACTTAGCAAGGTTTTCAACAAGTCTCTTTTTTCTCAGCTGCTGTATAAAAAATGTTTCTGATACTGAGTAAAGCTTTCTAAGCATCCATAGCAGATAGGGGAGGTGGTGGCTAGAAGGGACCAAACGGAGTGGAGGGTCATGAGTGAGAGGCTAGAGATAGCTGACGTTTCCACTTTAGTAAGAGAAAGTACCTTCAGTGACTGGTGAAAGGGGCAGCAAAATCTCTAGAGGGAATTCTAAGTACAGCTTCATAATACGCTTAAGTTGAGACCTGATCACATATTAGGTTGTTCAAAATACAAATGTACAAATCTGAAAGGAATGCAAAAACATGCTTTGTGTCCCCTGGAAAGAGGAGATACAGATGGGAGAAAGGGAACATTGCATAAAAAAACAAACAAACAAAAAACAACAACTTGATTTCCTGCATGGTCACACACAGGAAACAGTCAAATGCTGTTATTTTGTGCAAAACCAGGATCTTTAAGATGAAACACTGTGGCAAATGTGCTCTCAGAAGCCTGTCTCCGCCTTATGAGTAGGGAGACTTCCATAATGAGTGCTAGAATCAACTGAAGACTGATAAAAAACAAAACAAAAACTATAAATGAAAGGAGTCTCCTTAAAATAAAAACAAAACAATGACTACCATAAACTTATTGAAAAAAATCTCTCAAACACGTTGACAATTAAAAACGAAAAATAATTTTTTAAAAGGGAAGGCACATAATTTGCTCACAAATTATTTCTGTAGCCACAGAACTAATGAAATATATTTTCATATTGTTCTGTATAAAATCCCAAACTGTTTGTAAAGCCAGAACTAAAGGAAGAAAGTAAAACATAGGGAAAATTCGATCTTTTAAAATCGGTATTATATAGGATCCATCTCTAAGAGTGCAGAGACAAAATCATGTTTTAAAAAACCAAATCCTAAACATAATAACGAAACCACAAAACAACCCAAATGTGAAACATGTAAGTTTCCCGGGGCCGCGGAGCCTGAAACAAGGAGGGGGAGAGACGCCGGCTTCACGCCGAGCCCTCCAGCGCAAACGCGGTAAGATCGGCCCTTGCGGGCCGCCGTCCACCCCGACAGCAACGTCACCTTCCCTGAGTGCCCCGCGGGTGAGCCGGAGGCGCCAGGTGATGACGCATTTCCTCCAGCTACTGTGAACGCTGAGCTCCTTAACGCTAGGGTTGAGCTCGGAATCTTGATAAAACTGTAGTCATTGTAGTTTTCAAAACAGGCTACCATTGGGCTGGCTGAGTGGCACAGTTGGTTAAGAGCTTGCTCAAGAGTGCGAGCTCTGAGCAACAGCGGTTTGATGCCCAGCCCGAGCTGCCAACAGGCGGCAGGATGGCTCAGCTAAAAAAAAACAAACAGGCTACCCTGGCCAGAGAAAATACATCGAATTACTAAATTACTAGTTACTTAAGTCACTCCCGCAAATTAGTCCTAAAGTACGAGTTTTAAGTAAACATCACCATGAAAACACGTCCCTTTAAAAAGAAGTGTTTTTGACTCAGAAGGAATTGAATCATTGACGAAAAAAAAAAGTAACACAATATATTTAAAAGGAAACTTTCCTTTCTTTAGTTATATTCCTATTTCCTGGATATTTGAGACCTAAAGTTGGTTCTTGATTAAACTTTCAAACTTGGCACATACTACATTCTGAATAAATGCATGCTGCTACCGGCCACATTTAGTGCAATTACCATTATATGATCTATATACTGTAATACATACACACATATACAATGAAAGTATTTCTTAGGTGCAGATCTGAAAGAAATCAGATCTGAAAGAAACCAAATGCAGGTGTTGCAAGGTGTAACTGCACAACTTAGAACGTTGAGGTGAACTTTTATTTCCTAATTTTTGAATTGGTTATTTCTGTTTGTAACAGCATACATACCTCAAAAAAATAGTCAACATGATTAAAAATACATATAGCCATATATCTCTGATTACTTAAAAACGAAGGACTGAAAACAGTTGAAGATCATTCTTAAACATGACTAGGAATTCTATCATATTGGAATTATTCCTGACTTCCACCTTAACGTTCCTGTAGTTTTGATATTTTCTATCATTACATAAAAAATGTTAAAAGTCAACATCCAAATAATTAACAACATGGCAAAAGAAAACACGAAATTCATAATTTTTGGAGTAGTTTGGAGCATTGACTTGCTTACATCATGGAATGCAACAGATAAAAGTTTCTGCTGTCATTGTAAGACACAGGGAAGGAGGCCAGCACTGGGGACACCCGTCCATGGGTCACTCGTCGAGGCAGAAAAGTAAGCTGTAGGCTCAGATGGTGAAAGGAAAGGAGCAGCGATAGGTACAGTAGGGTCAAAGTAGACGAAGTTCAGCATATATTTTGAAACAATTCTGAGGCTTATTTGAAGTTTGCAAAACAAAAATTTGTCAAACAATATTTTTAAACGTCTAAATTCAGTTATTAATCTTGAAACTCAGGTGAAGTTTTGTCCCACTCAAGCAAATGTTCTTGAGTTAGTATGACTTTTAAATATAAAAAAACCGCAAGACAAAACCTAAAACTCAACTTTATTAAAATGGTATTCCCACTTTAACGAAGCACAATAGCTTCAACATAATTTTTTAAACATTTCAAAGTTCAGACCAATGAAATTAAATGAGAAATAAAAACAGTACTATAAATTTGCTTATAAGCAACGTTTTACAGACAATAATGGTAAAACAAAACGTCCCAGGAAATGAAAACACCACTTTATTTTTCTGAGTAAAGGCTAACTATATTCTGAAATTTCTAAAATCGAAACACAGGAATTGCCCCTCCTCTGACCTCCCCGGAGGGAAGAAGCAGGGGAGCAGTCCGGGAATAGGGGCGATCTCCTCGGGAATGTAATGCAAACTGCTGTTGGAAATTCTGCAAACAGAGGAATCCCATCGAGAGCCGGAAGACACGGGCCCCGAGGCGCACCTGGCCCCGCCCCCTCACGCTGCGCAGCTGCTCACAGGATCGTCCCTTGGGGGCCGCCGTCCTCCATTCCGTCACGTGACCTTGCCAGGCGCCTGGCGAGCGACCGCAGGGCTGAACAATGGCGGCGCGGCGCCTTTTGGCTGCAGTGCGTGGGCACACGCGCTGCTGAAACCCTCTATGCTTCTGGACAGTGGCCACCTAATCTCTGGTTTCCCATTATGCGGTGTTCTGCAAACGGCCCAGAAATAAGAATTTTAAGTTAACAGTTCAAAATTTATAAGATTTAATTTTCCCCAAAAGCATAAATTAAAACTCAGGATGTAGTAGCATGCTGAAAAGAAATCACAGATTTCATGACAGTTTCGTCCTCTTCTAAATTTTCAAATGCTCTGTAAATTAAAGTGAACAGAGTTTAATTAAAATCTCAGCTAAATCTGGGCATAACAGGCTAATGGGTTGGGTAGAGAGGGGAGGGGGCAAGGCTTATTTCCCAGAGAATAAAATGGTTAGTGAATGTTATATTGTCAATAAAAAGAAAGTGCTTTATTTTCAAGTCTAAGAGTAAGTTTTCAAGAATAATAGGCAATATTATTTTGACTGACATTTCAAAGAACTATAAAGGAAAAAAATAGTTAAAAGTGATCATGTATTGAAAAATGCTAACAAAACTTAAGTTGTTAGAATAGAATAATTCAAAATTGATAACTAGATACCTTCAAATGAAAAATTAGCAAAAGAAGAAAAACAAAAATGGGGTTATAATTCACTTAGAAAAACGCCAACAAGGTGATTAATCTTTTTCTCAGATTGGAAAACAACCCATGTAATTACACTCATCTTATGAACTATCTTGCAACTGATGAAAATGACACACACAGGTACACGTAAGCGTACGTACACTTATGGAAGGGTGAATTTGACATATAACATACAACTGAACATATTGTATAATAAAATATGAACTATGTATGTGTGTCCATGGACACACACTTCTGTATGTTTATGTTTGTAAATGAAATCAGCCTGGTAGGGTTCTATCCAACCTTAACAACAGTTAACTACAAAAAGTGGCATAAAAAGTCGGTATGGAGCCAGGCTTACCTGCGTTTTTACTGTGAATAATTTTGAATTGTGTTTTTGCCCCCCAGAAGCCAAACAAAGCATTATGTTTTGGTTTTGAAAAAAGATTCCTACTTTTGATGTGAATGCAATTATTTCTGGTTCTTGGACCTGTCTTTTCTTCGTTCTTACTTTTTCTTTCAGCCTTCTGTGAAAGTCTCCCTCCCATCACAATTCAGCAATTTCCCCAGCAGCTACTGATAATACTGTAACATGCTGGGAGCTGTTTAACGAGGCTGACTTTGGCCCCTCGTTCTCTTGATGGTGCTGAAATCCTGAATCCTATAAACCAAGTGAAGTTTGCATTCCTGAAACATGACTGATTAAGGCATAAAAATAAGCTGTGCATGGAATATTCACCAACTGATCTGGTATCCTGCACAGGAAAGTGTAAGTGGTTGAAGAGAATGGTGCAAACTATAAACCATATAATTCCCTGTGCCCTCTCCATTGGCTGTTAGGATGTTTTTTCCTCTGCCAAATCCTCTACTCTTTTGCCTGCATAGACTCTTTTTCTGAAACCAAGGATTTTCTTTAGAAACTTTTTACGCATCAAGAAACCAGAATTTCCAGTTTATAGTCACACAGGCAGCATTCCTATGAGGAAGATGGTCAAATGTATGTAGCTAAAGGAATGTGTTTAAAAAAACAGCATAAAATCAAGCAATTTCAGTGTCATGAAATACCATCAAAATCTAGCCCCGGTATGTATTTCCAACTGCATTCAGGTAGAGGAAACATTTCTACCTATGGTGTCTCAACTATTTTGTCGTCTGTCCATACTCTGTTTCCTACATATTTTTGTCTTCCCTGCTCTATTTTCCTTGAATTTCTACTACTTACCCTTTATGTCTCTAATCATACTTTGCTTCCTCCAGGGAGCCTTCCCTGACCACTTAAATCGATACTACATCCCAATACATCCTCTGAAATCCTCCAGGAATGTGCATAAGCCAAATTACAGGATTTCTACTATAGGGTAGGAAAAAAAAAAAGATTTTTCTATCCTAGGTTCTCATCTGGGCATCTATAACAAAAGACAGATTAATAAGAGACAGCATACATGTTTATTGGTTTTAAATGATATGGAAGCCTTCATAAGGAAATGAGGACCCACAAAAATGGTTAAACCTGAGTGTTACCCAAGGTTTGATGAAGAATGCGAAGTCATGGAAAAACGTGATAGGACAAAAGGGTGTGAACTAAGTTTAGTAAACGGGGGGTGGGGTGGGGGTGGGGGGGGATACTTAGCAAGGCTCATTCATTCAGGTTCCTCTTGGCTTCCCTCTGTCTTCAGAGATAAAGATGCTCCTTTCCTCTGAGTCTAGGAAGGGACCTCTCACTGGAGCCTCTTACCACCTGCTTCAGGGAAGAAGGTGTCAGAGATTCGCCAGCTTTTTCAACTTCCTTCGGCTTAAAATACTCAATAAGCCAAGGGGCTGTGTTTGGGGGTAAAGTGTCCCGAACACTGCACTACCCCAAATGTAATTACCTATTCATTTATCTGAATTCCCACTCCACTGATGACAATCATAGGAGGAACACTGTATTTTTTTCACCTGTCCATTCACTATATGGAAAAAAGTACATGTCCCGTGGGTGCCACTCCAATTTTATTTGCACACACGCAGCAATTTCCTCATGTTCATCTTCCCTTCCCCAAATTAGGCACAATTTAACATGTAAGGAGCACCACCCTCAAGTCCAAAAATATTATTCGACTTTTTACTACATTGCGATTCCTCAGTTTCTCCTAATTGCACGGAGGTAAAATGACCTCAGTCCTTCCTACCTGTTTGGCCTCATCTCCTCCTCTAAACCTCCATTTACAACTCTAGGAACTGGCTGCTCTGATTCCTTTGTAATCTGTCAGTGTGCCTTGCTCCTTCTAGCCGTCCCGCACTTGCAAATTTCCCTTTCTTCTTGCATGTTCTTTCCTTCCTAAATTTTGTGCACTTGAACTCGGTATTCACCTTCTAAAAATGAACGTGCTCAATATCTTACATCAGAAACTGATGTTTACCACTCATGTTGTTTTAATTACTTGTGGATTCAATATTTGCAAATCCACCTACTCACTAAAATTTATTTGTAACTCCCAATCAATACTCCTGGCAGTTATGTGGTCATTTGCAGACAAGCTGAAAGGGGTGGAAAATTCAAGGAACCCTTTGTTGCCAGCTAAGGTCAAACCAAGCAATGATCTCCCTTTTTGTTTCAGCTCTTACGCTACTGTAGGAAAGGAGAAAATTTCTCTGTTCCCTTCTCTGGGCCTTTTGGCTGGCCAGTAATCACATCAACAAGAGGCAGAATGACAAGAGAAAATCAGATTTAACCTCATGTCCACGGGAACCCCACACATGAGAGAGTCAGAGACCCCACTTAGGTGACAGAGTCAGACTGGGAAAAGACACATGGGGATAGAGCTAGGGATGACATCATGCACCCTGGGGCTTCAAAGGGGCATTGCAGAATGATAAAAAGAGCAGACATTTAGAAAGTAAAAAGGTTACCCTGCCCTATAGGTGGGTCAAAAAGAGATGATGGCTGATGATCTCTGATGATGGGCGAGGCCCCTAATTTAAGTTCTTCTAAGTAGTTAAGGGGAGGGGGCAGAAGTTTCTCTTGAGCCTGAAGCTAAAACTGCCCTTAACTCAAAGTCATCCGTATACCAGTGAGGCACACCTTGGGGTGACTCGTTCTGAACCCCTGCACTATAAACCAGTGTCCTTTTCATGATCTATTTAATGCCTCTCTGAGTCTGTGAATGGATTTAAGTCTGGAAGTGAAGTGAGGTTCTATTACATTTTTAGATTTTCCTTATGTAGACAAAACAATTGTTCAGCAGAATTCCCATCTATTTAGCTCTAGGGATCCTCTGATCAGTTCTCTATCGGAAAAGGTCCCTATGTGCCAAACATTCTGATTACTGATATATTCCCCTATCCCCAGCCTTTCTGGTAAGTAACACACCGTGTCTTTGGCAGTTAACTGTTCGCAGGAGCAAACCATTTGCGACGTTGCAAGCTACCTGACACAACACGATAAACTGCCATCATGACTTCAGCCCAAGAGGTTTTGCCCTCTTGGTGTACCAACATTATTAAAATCCACTTCCAGACAACCTCCGCCAGGTTTCTGCCAATTTATTGCAATTCTTTTGGCATACACCTGTCTCTTCCTGGGTCATGGTGTGTACTTGTCCGCAGGGATCATATGGCTATTTGACACAGCCATGGATCTAGTAACAAAAAATCATGATTTGTGGTGGGGCTTAAAGCGAATGGGCATTCCCTTTAATGGCACCTAATCCAAGTGTGTTTTACAAAGCTTTCAAGGAGAAAAAGGCTGTTATCTTAAAACAATAGAGAGAAACTACTTCCACTGGTAAGAAAGGCTCACACTGACTTTTTGTTTCCAGATTCTCAGTTTCAACCAAACAGGTAACCCTATTCCAAGATTCAAACACTCATTCTTTCTCAGCATTTACATGAAAAATGTAGTGAATGTGTGTCATCAAATTTTGTGTCTGATATTCAGTAACACCAGTTATGCCATTGCCAGAAATAAGAGCTTTCTACTACAGTTGCCATGGAAGTTCTCAGGTTTTCAGACTAAGACCTGATATGATAATGAGGAACCCAAATGTGTCATTTTCTCTCCCTACACACGAGAGGGCCCTAAATGGAACCCACCCACAGCACAGACCTTACAGTCATGGCTACTCCTGTCACAGTGAAGTGCAGCAGTCACATGAGCACCCAAGGCCAATGCCCAGGTGGTACTCCATGACAATCGAGAGCAGGCAATAATTTCATTGTACACCACGACCTATCACAGGTGGCTTGTGACCCATTTCACATTAACAAGGAGCCCAGGAATAGTACTCAAGCACAGAGCAATCACCAAAACAAGCACCTGCCCCCTCCCGCCCCACAATCTCATCTTTGTGGGCTAATCCCTTAGGACCACTCCAAGTATTAATTCATGGTCCATAAGAGTCCGATGAGGGGGTAGGCGGATTCACAGTTTGAACAGGTAAGGTGCAACAGGAATGCTTAACTTCACCTATGTTGCCATCCACACCTTGCTCCTAGGTGCGCAGCACTGGGTCACTGTATGTGCTGCCACCGTGGAACTAGCCAGGGAGAGGTATCCACAGGAGGTGTCCGAGTTGTGGCGCTCCGCTAAGAAAGGAGAGGTGCCACGGGGGACTTCTGACTTCTAGGTGCTGGTGACCGCCCACCACAGGGCGTGAACGCTCCAGCCGCCATCTTCGGAGCGGGCACAGAGCCCTAGAGAAGCCACGCACACTGTGGGGACCTGATCCTGGGAAAGGTGTGCATGTTACAGGAGACTGTGAGAGACCATAATGCAAACCCAAAGGGGCCAGTCTTCCTCATGCAGCAGCTAACCACCTCCAGCTACTGACAACGACTGCCATCGGGCCAGCTGGCAAAGGCAACATTTGTGAAAGGGCCCCGCTTTATTTTCACACAGGAGGCAATGAAGGACGAATTCGAATCTGACAGGCAACTAATATGAAGAGGCACACGCTTCTTCTAATTATACTAGGCATACTACAGAGATAGGCTCCTTATGTGCCAGTGATGTCAGCGGAAGTGGCCTAGGTGATTTTGGACTAATTAAAACAAATGCCTGTCCTCAATGACTCAGTGGACAGAGTGTGCGCTCTGAACAAGGCTGCCGGGTAAGACTCCCATGTGACTTGGTGGCTACGCACACCCGCAACTAACACTGAACTCGGCACCTTGAGCCAAGCTGCCGCTCGGATGGCTCCGTCGGTAGAGCGTGCGCTCCTAACAACAAGGCTGCTGGTTTGACTCCCACGTAGGATGGTGGCTAAGCCCACCCGCAACTAAGATTGAACACAGCACCTTGAGCTTAGAGGCCACAGGCTGCCGATGGGAATTCAGACGGCAACTGACGCCGTCCACAATGAAGACTGAACAACAGCAACTGCGCAGGCTCCCTTCCCCAATTCTCCAGCACGGTTCCCCTCCCCCAGTTCCCCAACTTACAAAAAATGCCTGCCTACAATAGCATAGTTTTATTCAGAAACATTTCTCGTCTCCTGTTTCTGCAGGTGCTGATGCTAGAAGACTCACACATGTAAATTTTGCCCTCCTGGTATTAGAGGCCCCACTGGGTAACTACCACTGACTAAAGAAATGTGGACAACACTTTGCAAGACAATGGTGTTGTGTTCCCCTCTGACCCTCACCTAACATTACAGGGAAGTCCGATGTGGTAGCACCGCAAATGTCATAGGTTCAAACAAGTTCAAACAAGTAAATATGGTCCCTACGTTTTTCTGGCTCGGTGGCCTGGGCCCGTTAGCTGTGCCCTCCGCTCAGCGTCTCACAGGACAGCAATGGAAGTGTCAGTGGCCTGGGTTCATTTCCAAGCTCGCCCTTGTAGGCACAGTTCATTTCCTCGGGGATCTAGAATTCATGGCAGGCTTGCCTCTTCAAAGGCAGCCATTAAGAGAAAGAGCCTCTGACATCAGAGAAGGCCTAGGGCCACACCCGAGAAACTCCACTGTAACTCAAAGTCAACCGAGGAGGG